AAAGAAAAGCGACAGAGATAAAGTCCAGAGGTCCCATCGGCTGTTTTTTTTGTTCTCTGCATCGTTTTGTTCCCTCAGAAACAGTCACGTCCTGTTTTCATCGTCTGTCCTGCTGCGTCCATATTTGGACTCGTCTTCCTGACCTCTGTGACCTCACTTCCTGCCCCTCTGCAGCGCTGCAGACTTCCTTAAACAGCTCAAGTTCTGCAGCAGAACACCTGCTCAGGTTCTCCTGGTTCTCCACAGACATCTTGGAGAACTTTCCACAGTTTTAGATCTTAGACTTAATCTTAAACCTGGTTCTAGACTTTTCCTCGTGGATCCAGTTTGTCTTCATCTAATCCCACACCGACTCCACCAAGTTCACATCAGGACTCTGGCTTTGAACTGGTTCTAAACTTGGTTTTGATTTCAGATCGGTCTCTAACTTGGTTTTGGACCCGACTTGGGTCTGGTTTTAGATTTGTTTTGAACTTGACTTTAGGTCTAATTTTGGGGCCAGTTTGAGGCCTGCTTCAGCCTTGGTTTTGGACTGTTCTTGAGCTGATTTTAGAAAGGTCTTAGACTGGTTTCCAAGTTGGATTTGGTTTAGTCTGGTTATGAGGAGGTTTTTGTCCTGTAGTTGGACAGGTTTCAAACTTGGTTTTGGATGTAATTTTGAGCTGGTTTTAGATTGGTTCTGTGGTAGTTTAGAACTTGATTTTTAACCTAATTTTGTTCTAGCTTCAGACTGGATTAAAACCTGGTTTTGGACCTGACTGGTCTGGTTTTAAAGTGACTAGTTCTGGACTAGCTGTAGACTGGTTTGGAACTGGTCTTACATTAATTTTCCAAGGTGTTTTTTTGGCTGTTGTTTTAGGCAAAGTTTGGTTTGTTGGTTAAACTGAAAATAAAATGACTGTCACCACTTTCTGAGTAAATCTAGATCCTAAACATCTGGATGTTTCTGACCTTTCGGTGTGTCCCAGTAAACGAAAGAGTCCACCAGCGACCAGCCTTTACGGTAGTAGGCAGCAGTCAGTTCCAGCCAATCGGCTTCCAGGGAGCTGACCACGTGACCCTTCCTGGAAACGCGCATGGAGAGCGCCCCCTGGTGGTACTGACAGGCCAGGGAGTCCAGAGGAGCACAGCCGGGAGCCCAAGAGTGGAAGAAGACCAGCAGCCTCAGGTCTGGAGGAGGACGACGAGAAACAAAGACTCAGCGTCGACTCACATGTTGAGAAGTCTCAGCTGCAGGTGAACATCTAGACCGCCTCACCTGGACTGTAGGTGTTCTCCTCCAGCTCCCGGTCTCCAGGAGGGGTCCGCGGAGGTGTTCGTGGGGGGGATCGGCAGCCCCTCTTTGGACTGTGAACCCGGCCGTTAGTGATCCCGCTCACCTGTTGCAGGACCGAGCCGACGAACCGGACGCCCCCGCGAGCGCTGCTGTTCACCTGCAGGGGGCAGCACAGAAACATCAAACATCAGCTTTATGACAAGAAATTATTCAACCACCCAGTAACAGATAGATCTGGTGTCGGACAGGAGAAGCGGCTGACCCGGTCGATGAGTGCTCGGACGGTGTCGCCGGTCAAAGAGTCTCCGGGCAGCGGCCACTCCTCCACCCTCAGAACCGGGACACTGTGGCACATGGAGGCCGTCTGCTTACTGCAAACAGGACACAAGAGCTCAGACAGCAGCAGACATTCACTGAGCAGGAGGCTTCAGCTGGACACACAACACATCAGACAACACAAGGGACGACAACCAACACACGGATGGACGATTCACCGCTACAAGCCTGAATTGGACTGGTTTTAGACTGGTTTTAGACTGGTATTGGACTGGT